GGAGGGGCTTGGGCCGACCCACCCCCATGGGAGAACTCCACCCCCGGCTCCGGTGGTCCCTGTTGCACTCGGCGGCGTGGGGATGTGTGCCTCCGGTGCCCGGCCGGTTGCACGCCCACACTCCAGGATTGGCTCCGCATGTGGCTGGATTTGTGTCCCCCCCCCCCCCGGTCGGGGGGAGACTGGAGGGGGGAGGCGGCCCTCCCCTGGCGTGGAGTGAGGAGGAAGGTGCACACGGGGCCGCCCGGGGGGGGGGCCCCTGCCGTGTCCTGGCTCGCTGCGCTTTCAAGAGGGGCCTCGGGGATAGATCCCCGGGTAGTTTGGTTCTCTGACTTTGATGATAACTTTGTTCTTACTTTCCTAGTAATCAGGGGTGCGACGCATTTGCCCTCCTCCTCCTCCCCTTCCCCTTTTTCCTCCCCGCCTCCCCGAGCACATCCGCCCTTCTCCTCCTCCTCCCCCCTGGCACTTCTCCTCTCTCCGGGGGGCGTCTCGTGTCGTGCGCGCCCGTGGTCTCCCGCTCCCCGGTCCTCCCCCCCCCTCCCCCTCCTCCTCTCGCCACCACCACACACATCGACCATGTTTCGGCGCTTGCCTTCGGCTCTCCGCCCTGCGGAGAGGGACAGACTGCCGGCGGCGTGGACGTCTCTTGCTCCCGGCCCCTGTTTCTGTGCGCGCGTCGTGCGGTGCTCGGCCCCCGGCTGCGGGCTTCCTCTTCCCTGCTCTGGCTTGACTTGCGGGAGCCCATCGCCCGGCGCGTGTGCGCCGACCCTGCTCCCCTCTCTCAGTCTCCGTCGCGCTGGTTCTTCGGATGCGGCTCCCCGGAGGAGTGACAGGGGGTCGGGGCGCGCGCCCACACGCACATGTGGGCGATGGTGCATTCCTCGTGTCTCTCGAGGTCTCGGATGTGGCTCGGCTCCTTCTCCCCCCCGAGAGGGAGAGCGCCATCCCCTCGCCCGTCCCAGCCCGACATGTGTCTCTCTCTTGCTCTCTCTCTCTCTCTCTCTGCGTGTGTGTGCGCGTGTGTGGATGTGGATGCGGATGGTCTGGCGAGGCGGCGGCCCCCCTCCCGGGCGCCGGAGCGTTGCTCCACCCCAGCTCACCCACTTCCCACAGGGGAGCGGGTCGTATTGATCCGCCCGCCTGGGCTCCCCCTATTTAAGCACGCCCGGCGGATGTACCGTGCATCCGACCGGGCCACTGCTGCTCCCCTCTCGGTCGCTAACCTCCCCCTCCTTTTCGCTCCTTCCCCCCCACCACGTCCCCACAGTATCGTCGTATTCAAGATGGTCAAGTTCCTCAAGTCCGGCAAGGTCGTCATCGTCCTCAACGGCCGCTTCGCTGGCCACAAGGCTGTTGTTGTTCGCACTTTCGACGAGGGCCAGAAGAAGTCCAACTTCGGCTCTGCCCTCCTCGTCGGCATCAACCGCTACCCCAAGAAGGTGACCCGCACCATGTCCAAGAAGCGCATTGCCTCTCGCTCCAAGATCACCCCCTTCGTTAAGGTCATGAACTACAACCACTTCCTGCCCACCCGGTACGTCTTTCGTGTGCTGTGCACCTTCCGTTTTCATTCTTCCGCGAAATGCCGCCCCCACGCACATCTCATGTCCCGTGGTGTGTGTGTGTGCTCCCCTCCTCCCCGCGCCCGATGTGTGGTGTGCTGACCCCCCCCTTCCATTGCTCCATCGTCCTTTCTTCCTTTCCTCCTCTCCCTCCTCGCCCCTGGCGCGCGTGCCCACAGCTACAGCTACGACCTCAACGACCTCCCCCGTGTCGAGGTCGACGAGATCAAGGATCCTCAGAACCGCGTCACCGTCAAGAAGGGCGTCCGCACTGCTTTCGAGACTCGGTATGTGTCTCCCGGTCCTCCTCTCGGCGGCCCTGGTCTTTTCCCCTCCTCGCACCCTTGTCTTCTTCATGCTGCTGCCCCTCTCTCCCATCCGTCGCGATTCTGCTGCGCCCTCTCCCCTGTGGCCTTGGACTAACGTGCATGCCGCGCGCCCCCTCACGCGTGTCTCCGCCTCTCAGCTTCAAGTCCGGCAAGAGCAAGTGGTTCTTCACCAAGCTCCGCTTCTAAATGTCTTGTGTGTGCCCTTTTTGTGGACCCTCGCAAGAGCGCGTCGTCTGACTCCCCCACGGACCGCGTCGTGTCCGTCTGCCCTCCTCCCGTGCTCCTTCTCGCGAAGCAGCGCCCCGGTGAGGCTGGCCTGCGTGTGCGACAACTTTCCCCGGCCGGGGGAGAGCCATCTCCGTGTTCCTGTGAATACACATACTCCGTACAGTTATCCATTTCCCCCCATATATTCTATGGCGAGTCGAGTAGCGCGCCGCGCCGCCAGACCGACCGGGGAGAAGGGCCGTCCCTTTGGGGAGGCCCCTCTCTGTGTGGGCTGGGCAATGATGCCTCTCCCCCCCTCGTCGGGCGTGTCCTTTCCCTCTCTCCGTGTGCTGTGTGTGTGTGTGTGCTGCCATCTGTCCCGCTCCATTGCCCGCCCCTTCGTCCCTTCCTTTCTCTGTAGCGTGTGGCGCGCGCGCGCGCGCGTGTGTGTTCGCGTCCTTCTTCCCCTCCTTTTCTGCTCGTTTTTCCTCAAGGCACAGGGATGGGGCCAGCCATAGTGTCCGTGACGCGTGACGGTGGGCGTATTTCCTTGTGATGGGAGTGTGTATGTGTGTGTGTGTGTGTGTGCGGCAGGCAGGGGGGGAACGAGGAAACAGGGGGGCGTACGCTCGACCACGGACCCCCGTTGTCTTTTTCGCAGGCCTCTCCTCGCAGCCTGTCCGATGCTCGGCACTCGCAGGTTCGTCCTGGTGGGGCTGGGTTCTTCCGACAGCCGAACGCGTTCGTGTAGGCGCGCACCGGGGCGTGCTTGCGAAACTCACGCAGCCATCCCGGGGGTCCCTGTTTCGTGCCCGGGGCAGGTCGCCCGCTCCTGCTTCCCGGCATCTGCCCCACCCCCTTGCATCGCCCTTTCGTCGATGGTTCCGTGTCTGCCGCCAGTGGTGTTTCGGCTATCGGCACCCCCCGCACAGGAGGGCATCCTTCTTCTCGATGCGACGCGGGTCTTCGGTTATGTTGGCGAAATGTGGCTCACCAACGGGTCCAAAGCATCGGACTTTCAGCTAAAGAAAATAGCAAGTTAAACCGCATTCCCCGAGACTTAACCCAAAAGGCACTGTCTCGACTTTCAGTCGTTCTGTGATTTCGCCTGCGCCACCGGCGATTGCCCGTGACGGCCGGGGGGGTGCGTGTGTGTCTGCAGTTCTGTGCCCCAAGGCGCGGGCTGGTTGGTTCCCAGCGCACGGCATCGCACGAGCGCCTGCCCCGAAGTTTCTTGTCCCTGGAGGCCGGGTGTTTTTTTTTTTTTTTTCCTGGCAGCCCTCCTGTCGGCCCACCGGGGGCCGGACGCTGGGCGGGAGAGAGGCGCATGTCACAGGCCGCCGGTCCGGGGCTCTGGGCTGCCGTGGTGCAGGGGGAACGCTGGGCCGGGGCACGGGCCACCATCCGGGTGAGGTTAGACAGGGGGCCGGCACGGGTCGAGGCTGGGCCAACGGAGGCTGCTCCACCGTCCAGGACCCCGACAATCGGCCGGCGACGAGCCGCCCCCGCGCCTGCTGGTCCTTTTCCGGCCTCTCCCTCGCTGGCCGAGATTGATGGGAGCGTCCCCAAGCTGGGGGAAGCCGCCGCCACCGGCTCCCAAGTGACCAACTTCCCGATCTACTCCCCCCTGTCCCCCTTTCCCCCGCTCTCTCTCTCTCTCTCTCTCTCTCTCTCTCTCTGTCTCGTGCGCGCGCCCCCTTCCGCCTTGGCCACATGCTATACCAGCTGCTCATCATCAACAAGGCCGGAGGCCTGGTGTACCAGCACATCTTCCCTCAGACGCGCGCCGGTGGCACCTCGGCTGCCTCGCCATCACCCAACTCGAATGACTTCCTCATGCTGGCCGGCACTTTCCACAGGTCCGCCCTCCTGCTTCTGTGCACTGTCCCCCCCCTCCCGCCGGAGCTTCCCTCTCTAACGCCCCCCTCCCCATCAATCGCACCCAGCATTCATGCCCTGGTGGCGCAATTCTCACCCGTGGCCGACTCGTCCGGCTTGCGGGTGCTAGAGTCATCGCACTTCACGCTCTTCTGCTTCCAAGCCCCCACCGGGACGAAGTTCCTCCTCGTGACGATTCCCCTCTCCGGGTTGCAAAGCGCCTCGTCAGTCATCTCGCATCATGTCACCCAAACCGGACGCACCGTGCCAACCAGCCTGCACTCCGGCCCTCCGAACTTGCATGCGGTGGCCACCGCCGCCTGGCGGGAGATCTACCTGGCGTACGGGGCCTTTGTAGCGCGGGATCCCTTCCACGTGCCGGAGATGCCGATCCGTTGCTCGCGTTTTGATGCGGCCGTCAGCCGCATTGGTCAACGGGCATCGAGCGGCATTTACTGAGAGGCGGGGATGCGTGTAGCCATCCCCCCCCCCCCCTTCCCTCTCCCCCCTTCCCTCTCCCCCCTCCCCCGCTTCCCTCTCCCCCTCTGTCCTTGTCATCCCTCCATCCAATCTTCTCTACAAATACATAGTCACTATGGCGTGCTTGCTCTCCCGGTGTCCTGGGCTTGCGAGGCACAGGGGGGAGGCATACACATTGGGCAACATCAAGTTCGGGTGGGGGTGGATTGTATGCCTTTGTCGTGCGCAAGACACACGCACACCGGGAGGACACCCTTCCAGGCGGAGCGCGCACACGCGCGGTGGTCTGATAAATTACAAGGGGCCTGCCCTGGCCCGTCATTTAGAGAGGCAGAGCATGGCAAGGGGGAGGAAGGGACGCGCATGGTCCGGGTACGTCCCGTGTGTGATCACGCACGGGCAGCGATTGGATGCGGTGCACAAGGAGGGGAACTTCGGGGTGGCTGGGTGTGCGTGGGGCTGGGCGCCTTTCTCTTACCGAGAGTGTCTGACGTATTACCGGTAGCCGACGACCATCTTCAGGAGGGAATATCGGAGGGAAAAGGGCATGAAGGGGGAGGCAAATGTGAGTCGGCACGAGTCAATCGGGCCGTGAGCGAGGGGGGGGGGGGGGGGGCGTGAGGAACGCACCTGGGCGAAGCCCCACTCAGTGTCAAGGGTGATCGGCTCATCAATCTGGATGGTGGGCTTGGTTTCGCCGGCCTGGGCATCCGGGCGGCGGACGACACCAATCTGAACGGTGTTGGCAGCCTGGGTGTTGCGGTAGAACAGGACCTTCAGGGCATCCTTCATAATCTCCTTGGCAGCCTCCTCGTCAATCGAGTCAATCTTGCCCTCGACGCTGATTTCCGACACACAGGCAGGCAGAGAGGGGACAGGGTGGGGGTGGGGGGTGGGGGAGAAGGGCGGACAGGGAGGATCAGTAGGTGGACAAAATGCATGGGAGGGGGGAAAAAATGTGGGAAAGTGCCTGCTGGACGCACGCTTCACGGAGCAGCGGCTGGCCAAGATAGTTACCGAAGCCAGTGGTGACAGTGTCGGCCTGGTAGCTGCCACCGCGGAGATCCACCTGCCCGAGGAAGCTATCGAGTGATGGGGCATACACAGGTGAGTGACAGGAGAGGGGGGGAGGGGGGGGGGGGATGGGGAAAGATCGAAGCAAAGGGAGATGCGATAAAGGAAAAAAAAACGCACCTCTTGCCCTGGGTGTCGACGCCAGCCACCACCAGAGTGTTCCAGAGGGGGTCGAACTTGTTGCGGCGATGGTACATCATGGAGGCAAGATACTGGATGTGGCACGGAGGAGCAAAGGGGGGAGGGGGAGGTGTTAGACATGGTGCGCATGGGGCAATCGGGGGAACATTCTCTCTGTCCATCCTACTTCCGGGAGGATCTCTGGGTGAGGGGCATACCTCGAACACATGGCGCGGAGAGAGGGAGTGGCCGTCGTCGCAAGTGCGCTCCTTGAGGCTATCTCGGATGGGGAGAGATCATATGCGGTGAGTTAAACAGGGGGACAGCCACCCAGGGGGAGAGGGAGAGAGAGCACGAAGCATACGTACACAAGGTCATCCAGGAGGCTCTTGATGTACTGGAAATCGGCATAGTCACCGGAGAAGCCGACAATGGTGGCCGGCTCCACGGTGATCAGGCGCTCGACGTTGCGGAACTTGTCCATGCTGCCGAACATGACTATGACCGGGGGCAAAAGACCGAGGTTAGAGGGGGGGATGTGCTCAAAAAGGGGGAGGAAAGCCGAGCATTGGGGTGGCGAGTGCGCGCACGGTGGTTGTCGCAGGCGATCATCACGCCGTCCTTGTACTTGAGAGCCAGGACTGCAGCACCAGTCATGATGGGCGAGCTGTGTGTGTGTGTGTGTGTGTGTGTGTGGCGTGTGGCGTGTGGTGCATCCATCGTCAGAGGTCATATCTAGCGGGGAGTGTGGTTGCAGGTGGCGGGGGACAGAGGCACAGCCAGGGCAAATCTAAACAGCATACACACCTGGCGTGGGCGGTGGGGGTGCCGCCGCGAGAGAAAGCAACCGGGGCGCTCATAGGCTTCTCGGCACCGGAGTCACTCGGGGCAAAGGTCGGCTGGCGGGCCGCCGAGGCGAGGGTCATGGCACAGGGGCGGCCCAGGTGGGCGCGGGGAAGGAACTCGGGGGAGTTCATCACGGTGCTGGGGTGGGGGGCGACGAGGCAGGGGGCCAAGGGAGGAGAGAGGGCAGGAGGAGGGGGAGGGGAAGGGGGTGGCTACGCGATCGGCAGAGGGGAGGATTGGAGGGAGGGAGAAAGGGGGTGGGAGGGGGGCTGGAGGGGATTTGTATCGCGACAGGGTACTGGGGCTTCCCTTTGGGTGACGAGGGACAAAGCATGCTCGTGGCACTAGAGAGAATGGGGGAGCATCATCGTCACCTCCCCCCCCCCCGGGCTGGCCCTCTCTCCGGGCGAGTGGTGTCTACGGGACAGCCTGACAAGAGAACGGGCTGTGTCATGTCCATCGTGCGGGCGCACCTTTCGGGGGGGGGGGGGGGGGGGGGGGGCGGGTGATGCGCCCCCACCCATCGGGGCTGGCGGGAAGCCGGACAGGTCTTCTTGCCCTGTGTCCCCCCGGAGGAGGGGCGTGTCCGCACGGGCAGAGGACCGAGCAGGGGGTGATGCAACCAGCTCCGGAGCCGCACCACCGCCAGCCATCCGCGTACTCTGCAATGGGTATTTCCAGCTCTTCCCCTTGGGCGCATCATCGGACGGCCCTCTGACAGGGAATCTTCCAGCACGGCCGATGTTGAGAGCCGTCGGACCTGTGTGTGTGTGTGTGTGTGTGTGCGCGGCAGAACGGGCATTCGGTCCGGACAGCGGTTCTTGTGTGGCCCGAGCAGAACCGGGTCCAGGCAAGCTGCCTAATCTCGAAGATGCACGGGATCAGTGTCGGGGGAAATATCACATACCGTGAAGGTGACCAGGCGAGGTTGGTCGACTTTCGGGAGGCGTCCCTCAAAATCGATGGCCCGGGCTCGCCCAGGCTGAAGGAGACCATCATGCCTCTCGAGATCCGATCCACTGGGAGCTGCACCCCCGCCGGCGAGGGCTGATGGGAATTGGTTCGTGCTGTTCCTGCGCGGGTTCTTCGGACCCTCGCCGCACCTCGGGTGATGTATGTTGGCAAAGAGGCCGCCACCTCTCGATCTTCCTCCAACAAGCAGCCCCCCCCTTCGGCCCGCAGTAAGACTCTGCCCAAAGGGCCGGCTGGCCGCCTCGGCCCCGGGCTCCGGCGCTCAGACACGGCTCCTCAGGGGAGAATGCCCGGGGGGGGGGGGGGCGGAATATGGAGAGTGGGTTGGCAATTACCAGGGTGTGCTTTTACCCACACTCAGTAGGTTGGCAATTGGCCTCTCCCTGCCACATCCCGGCCCGGCGAGTGTGTGCATCCCGTGTGCGTGCGTATGTGTGTGCGTGTGTGTGTGCGTGCGTGCGTGCGTGTATGGCTCAGACCCATCCCCCGTGCCTGTTTCTCCCTTCTCCCCTGTTCCCGGTGGGCGGCACGATCGCCGTGGACCCAACCGTGTGAGTAAGGGCAAGATCGTGCCTCAAGGACCGTCCTCTCTCTCCCCCCCCCCTGAGAAAGAAAGCACATGCTGTTGTGACAATCGCCCGACCCGGCCCCCGCGGTCTTCCCCCTCTCGTTTGCCCCGTTGCTCGTGGGCCATGGTGTGCGGAGAGTAGATGGGACATTTGAAAGCCCCTGGCCAGACGGTCGGCCTCCCCAGCCCCGGGTCCCCCCCCTCATCTCCTCCTTCTCACTCGCTTTAACATATCCGTTTCCCTCTCTTTCGGTGTTTCAGCGTCTGGCTGGTGGTGTGAGGTGTCCTTGTGCTCTTGCTTAGGCTTCCTTCTTTGATCTATCGGAGCAGACTTGAACTTGCAAGGCATTTCTCGTTGCGCGCGTGTGGTCCCGTACTCTGACGATACCCAAGTCAGCCGGCTGGCTGCACACGCGTAACTCCACCCTTCAAGTTCCTCTCGCGCTCCAATAGGCATTGCTCGTCTCCCTCCCCGACGTGTGCGCTCGTCCCCCCCCCCCCCCCTGACGCCCCCTTCATCGGGTCCCTCATCGACTGGAGAGATGTCTTCGCGTGGTGCTCCCACGCGCAGGCGCCATCGCGACCGGTCCCCCAACTCGACGCGGGGCCGCCCCAGGGCAGGATTGGCGGTCAATCCTTCAAAGAACCAAGCCACAAAGCGCCGGAGCACAATCGACCACTCAAGCGTCCCGACCCCTCCTCTTCGGGAGCTTACACCCCCCCCAGTTCATGTCAAATCCCCGCCACCCGGCGATGTCGACAATGATACCGCCCACCCGGCGAGCAGCCCCTCGACGGGTTCATCTTCCTCTGGCACGGAAACCACGCCCCCCTCGGGCAAGTCTCAACCTTCACTCTCTGGCCCGGCGGCATCGGTGGCATTGCGACGCCGTGCGACGGCCATGTCACGCCTGGTGCTGTCGCAGAATGCCGAAAAGAATAATGCCCTGCGCCCGGCCCGTTCAAGTCGGCGCATTGCCCAGCCAAGTGCATCCCCCACGCCGGCCCCATCCTCACCCTCCGACAGTGGTCGTGCCGTTCCCCTTGGGCACAACATCTGGACCGAGCCTTCCTTCAGCGCCTTCTTCGGCTCGACCGAGCTGTGTGACATTGAGATCCATGAGCCGCTGCATGCGCGAAACCTCCGCGAGCCAGATGGCGCTTTCGATGAGAATGGCGAGTACACCTCCAAGGACAGCTACACCGACGAGGAGCTTCACCAGCTGGTGAATGAGATCCAGCGCATGCATCAGCCCGTGACCGGCACCGACACCGGTCCCTGGCTGCGCACCGGTTACGTGTTCGACACGCGCACTCTCAGTCATGTGGACAATGATGAATTCGAGTGTGCGCAGCGTGTGCTGGCAGCCAACCACCTGCTACTTCAGGCTGGGCTTCTGGCGCCGCTGGCCACGTCGGAGATCTCGGGCGTTGTGGCGCCCACACCGCGACGCTTCGGTCCCACTGACCAGACGATGAGGTGGCGCATGGCCCATCAGTCCCTGCCCCAGTCTTCGGGCCTGCTGGCGCTTGACCAGTCCCTTACTCCGGAGACTCGCCGGGCCCGGGGCCAACTCATTCCGATTCCTGCGGCACCAGTTACCTGGGAGCAGGTGGGACTGGCCCACTCGGCCGAGTTCGTGGCGTCGCTGCAGCTCCTTGAGAGTGCGTGTGACCAAGCCTTTTCCTTTTCCTTTTCCTTTTCCTTTTCTTCTTCTTCTTCTTCTTCTTCTTCTCCTCCAACATTCCCCTTCCTCTTCTGCCCCTTTGCTGTTCCCTGACCCTGTCCTGAATCCCTCTGATACCGCGTCCCATTCCTCCTCCTCCTCCTCCTCCTCCTTCTCCTCCTCCCTTCATACACACCGGCTTTTGCATGGACAACAATCTTAGCACTCCCATCTCAGGATTTGACGTTGATCGGCGACAGACTCGACTCTGTGACGTATGGGCCCTCGACCCTGGAGGCGGCTCTCGTGTCGGCCGGTGGCGTGGTCGCCCTTTTGGATGCCATTTCCGAGGGCACCATTGATAACGGTGTTGCCATCGTTCGGCCGCCGGGTCATCATGCCGAGCACACACACTCCAAGTGCGCCCCTCCCTTCTGTTTCTGCTGCTGTTGCCCTCCCTTCCTTTCTCTTCCCTCTGTCGACGCGACCTTCTGCGCATCTGACCTCTCCCCTCGCCCTGGCTGCCTTTGCTCTTCCCACTTCTCCCCTCTATCTCTATCTATCTATCTATCTCTCTCTCTCCCTCTCCCTCGCGCACGCGCGCGCGCGCGCCGAATGCAGGGGCTTTTGCATTATCAACAATGTGGTCCTCGCGGCTCAGGTGGCTCTGATGCAATATCCGCACCTCTACAAGCGAGTCCTGATCCTCGATTGGGATGTTCACCATGGTGCGTCTGCTGATGGCCAATCTCCCAGTCTCAAGCTGTCTCCCTGGCTGCTCTTTCTCTTTGCCGGCATTCTAAACCCCCTCTTCCCTGTGACTCCCTCAGGCAACGGCACCCAGCGTGCTTTCGAGTCGGACCCGCGCGTCCTCTACATTTCGTTGCACCGACACGACCATGGGCACTTCTATCCCCACTCGGCGGCGGCGGACTACGACTTCGTCGGCCTCGGTCATGGAGCTGGGCGGTGCGTTTGTTCGATTGTCTTCCCCTCTCCAGGTGTGTCCCACGGGGCGCAGGACGCTCACCTCCTTGCTTGCTCTCCCCTATGCCCCTCGGTCCACAGCAACATCAACGTCGCCTGGAACCACGACTCGATCTTGGATGCGGATTACGTGTACGCCTTCCAGCACTTGGTGACGCCAGTGGCGCGCGAGTATGCCCCGGATTTGGTTATCATCTCGGCCGGGTTCGATGCCGCGCGTGGGGATCCCCTCGGAGGCCCGGTGGCGGCCTTGTCATATGAGGCCTATGCCTTCATGACGGCCGAGCTGCGCAGCGTGGCCCCCCACCAGCGCGTCATCCTGGCCCTCGAGGGCGGCTACAACCCTCGGTCTCTGGCCATGTCGGCGTTGGTGTGCGTCAGCAACATGCTCGGCCCTGGGGGCTACCAGCACCGGTTGGACATTGGCCAGAGTCTGCGCCAGGCACACCCGGAGGCCGTGAAGGCGGTGATCCGGTCGCGGTATATTCACTCGCGTTTCTGGGACGTGCTGAAGGAGCCCCTTCCCAGCGAGCCCGATGGCGAGTGCATGGATGTCGAAAGCGCGACGGCGCTGACCCTGCGCCTGGCGGCCGAGGCATTCGCGCGGGAGGTCCCCGCCCCGCAGGAGCATTGGCTGTCAACTGCGGCCCTGGATGCGATGTATGCCAATCTTCTGGCCGAGTACGGGCTATATTGCCTGTCTGGCGGGACACTCTCAAGACTATCCTCACCCTCCAAGCGTAGCCAGCTGGTGGCTTTTCACCGAGGTCTGTCGGAGCAGGAGGACCTTGCTCTTGCCCGGCAGCTGGGGCTGTTCTTCCCGGCCTACCCGTCACCGGTATCGAAGTTGATCAATCAATGGTGCCACCCGTCCAATCGGAAGCTGCCTCGTGGGTTCAGCCACATCTTCGTCGTGGTGTCCGCATCGTGCGTATACCCTCTCGCCATCCTTCTCTCTCCCTCCCCCCCCCTCCCCTCCTTCCCTTCCCCCTGGTCTCCTTTTCCATCCTTTCTCATATGCCCTCGAGTTCCTCGCATTCCGGCTGCCCTTGACTTTGTCTTCTTCTCACACCCCCTTTGTCTGATGGCTGGCAGCGTCCTGGGCCATGCTCCCGCCGTCCGGGATGCCTATGCGCGGTTGTCCGCGGCCAGCCTCATCCCCTCGGTCCTGTTGACCTGCGTGACTCGGGCGAACAGCGAGGACCTCGTGTCAATGGTCGATCAGTTGTCGGCACAGGCCTCGCACGACCATATGCAGGCCACTTTGGCCAACCTGCCGCCGGGACACGTGGTCCAGGGTCTCCGTGGGCGTGGGGTTGCGGCCAGCGAGCTGGCCCGTTCGGGGCGTGTCCTAGGCAGCACCCCATCACCAACCATGGTAATCCCGGATGTCAAGCCGGCGACCAGTGGGCAAAGCACCAAGGCGAATGACACTATGGCCTCTGAGCCAGGCGTCAAGGAGCCACCGGCGACCGAGCCGACCAGCCCTACCGATGGCCGGCCCCGTTCAGCGCAGCCTGTCGAGGAGAAGCTCCCGACACAGCCAGGCCCATGTGCTGCATTCGCGGTCCATGTCCTGTTGGATGCCGAGGGCGACTGTGTGGACCTTGGCAAGTTGGCCCGGCGTGCCGTTGCTGCTGCTCTTGAGTGCGTTCCCCCTCCCCTGCCCCGCCCGCCCGCCCGCCCGCCCGCCGGCTCCCATGCCGCTGTTTCCTTTTCTTGCCTTTCCCCACTCTCCCCCTAACGATCCGGCTTCTCATCCATTCCACACAGGGACCTTTCGTGTTTTGAGAGCCCACGTGGGGCCGATGTGGTCTTGGTGATCGATGATGTGAGCGCCGGACTGATTGCCAACAAAACGGGCACAACGCCTGTGTCCTTCCTCTTTGACAATGCCGAACGCATCGAGTCCGCCTTGGTGGCCATTTCCTCCTTTTCCATTTCAATCGCCGACGCCCGGCAGACCAGCCAGGAGGGACTCGGCCTGCCAGCTGAGACGCCACTTCTCTATCTACCGTGTACGATGCCGGCATCGCAATTCCAGCCAAGGCGCCCATCCTCCGGCACCAGCACCGACGAGCACGCAACTCCACAGCACGATGCCCCGACCGTTGCCACATCCCCGGCCGAGTCCCCCAGCCCGACAACCTCCCCGTCCCTGGGATCGCTGCCACAACATTATCCCGAATTTGAGACTACGTGCGTTTTCAACGCCACATCGGAGATGCTCCTTCGAAACTTTGACATCGTCTGGGGGTTTGTGTCATCAACCAAGAGGTCTGAACACAATTAGCCACAAATACATCTTCGGAGTTCACCCGAGTTTGCTTGCTTCCTTCCTTCACTTGGTGATCTTCTCCCCACATGGGAGGAAGGATGCGTGGCGGCGTGAGCGCAGAGGAGCGACGGGCGGGGGTGGTGCATTATCTGTGGAGGGTGGGCATATTCGAATGGGGTTGTTGCCTTGCGACCGGCTTCCTGGCGGGCCATTTTCAAGCAACCTGAGCAGTGGCCTTCTTCTTGTCCTTGCGCCGGGTGCCGGCCGCCGGCTTGCCCGTGGACTTGCCAGCAGCAGGAGTACCAAGGCGCTGCATGATGGGCTCCGGGGCCGAAGCGAAGGGCGTGCCCGGGGCCGGGCGCCCAGAGGCCGAGCCCGCCAGAAGACTCCCCAGTGACCGGTCGGTCACATTAAGGCGGTCCAACACGGCGGCCGCCGACCGGGGAATGAAGGCCTGGAGGACACCGGCCACCACGCGGGCAGTCTCGACAGCCACGGCCACGGCCACCTGGCGCCGGGCCTGGTCGACCTCCCCCGTGCCCAGGGCCCACGGCTGGGCGTCCTGGAAGAGGGCATTGGCAGTGGTCAGCGCCGACACGATGTCGGCCATGTCTGGGCCCACCGTGGACAGACGCATGACTGATTGCCGGACCAAATGCGGCAGGGCCTCCAGCTTGGCGAAGTGTGCACGCTCCGAGTCGGTCAAACCACCAGCGGTGTCGGCCGGCTGCCGAAGCATGCTCTCCACATCCGGCCACTGACCCGTGGGGCTGATGGCCGGGCTGATGGCCCGCTGTACGAGATTGCCCAACTGGTTGACGATCTCGCCATTAAACTTGGCAGCCACGCGCTCAAGTTCAAAATCTTGCGACAATAGAAGCATTTATGTCAGGCATGCAGTGGCGAGGGGAATACGTGGCGGAGGGCGAGGAGATAGATCAGGGGCGCGGGGAGGAAGGAGAGGAAGCAGGAGCGAGGCATGGGGCCAAGAATGTGCACACGCACCAGTGTCATGGTAAATGCCGCCCTCACGCAGCAGGAAGTACCGCAGCGGATCGGGCGAACTGAACCCCTCAAGTACGGCCATCGGATCGACGACATTGCCCAGACTCTTGGACATCTTCCGACCAGAGACAGTCCAATGGGGGTGGGCAACCACCTTCCGGGGGAGGGGGAGCCCAAGCCCAAGCAGGAAGGCCGGCCAATATACCAGGTGGAAGCGCGTGATGTCCTTGCCGATGAGCTGGATCTCCGGCGGGAAGGCCCGGCGGACGTCCTCGTGAGCGGGCACGCTGTGCCATGGGATGGGGGGGGGGGGGAGGGGGACAGATGGATGGAGAGGAAGTCGAGTCAGCACGCCCAGCCAGGAGGAGCCGCGCCGATTTGAGCCTAACACAGCGGGGCGGGGCGGAGCGGAGCAGAGCAGAGCGGGGCAGACGGCCATCATCGAGTCGCGCACATGTTGCCATCGAGATCGCGACGAACGAGCTGATCACCCTCAACACCGTAGCCGCAAACGGTCAGGTAGTTGGTCAGCGCGTCGAGCCACACATAGATCGTGTGGTCGGGATCATCGGGGACTGGGATGCCCCAAGCGACCTGCGTGCACACGCACACACACACACACACACACACACGAATGATGTGAGCAGAGAGATGCGAGGGTGGACATGTATGTATATAGCAATATATGTGCATGTGAGGGGGGGAGAGAGATAGAGGCAGGGGGAGGCATTTCGGTTAGCCAAAAGGGGCGAGGCGCGGACGGGGTGCCTGCATGCGTGAGGAGATCATACCTTTGAGGAGGAGCGCGACACGTTGAGATCTTTCAGCCCGTTGTCCAAGTGGAGGAGCACATCACGCAGGATGGCGTGCGGAACCACGGGCAAGTCACCAGCCGCAGCACTCTCCTCGGCGAAGGGACGGAGCCAATCGTCAAGCTGGTCGCGGAATTGGCTAAGACGGAAGAGGTACGCCTCCTCTTCCACCCACACTAGCGGATGGCCGGATTCGGCGCTATGGCGGAGCTCCTCCCCCGCAGGCCCGGTGGTCAGGAGGATCTTCGAAGGCGGGACAAAGGTCTCATCCGACACGGAGTACCAGCCGGAGTGCGTGCCCTTGTAAATGAGCCCGGCATCGAGCAGGCGTCGCCACACGAAGGACACTGCCTCCCGGTGCCGGGCGTCAGTGGTCCGGATGAAGTCGTCGACCGAGATGTCGTACTCGCGGAAGAGGGCGCGGAACCGAGCGGACGTCTCATCGCAGGCTGCCTCCGGGGTGAGGCCGCGCCGGGCTGCGGCCTCTTGAATCTTCTGACCTGTGGAGCCAAATGTCGGGCATATGCCGCGGAGGAAGGTCGTGAGAATGGGGGGGGGGGGGGG